CCCAAGCCACAGAGCTATAAAGGCAGCCAAACGGCAGGGACTCTGTCTGTTTGCATCCCCAAAATATTGTATCCAGTTGCTAAATCGGAGTGAAGTGCTGGGAGAGGTGGGAGCGCCTCTTCGCAAGACTGCAAGGTTATCTATTTCTTCTGGAGTGAGGGCGATGCCGAAAGGACTACGGTCGCCACAGACAGGAAGGCGAGAGATATTCGCCACATCTTCAAGGGTAGGGGTAAATTCCCCCCATGAGCACACAAAGGTGTGAGTAGCGGTGCTCCACCTCCGGACCACGTGACGAAGCATCTTCGCTTCGATATGGATGTCCCACAATTTGGAAAGGAATATGGCATCAAGGACTTGTGCTCTGCGCAGGATGTTGCATGTGGATGGATCCCGCAGTTCACGGTCGACCCATTCTGACCAACCTTTACTGATACCGCAAGGATATTGGAAGAATAAGGGGAACGGCTGGAAAGAGGCCCTTTTCAATGCAGCATCTGGATATGGAGGCAGGATTAATTACAGGAGCAGTCTCGGGGGATGGCTCATCACCAACAACGGGATTTTTACGGGCATCTTTAAGCAACAGGAGCGGCCCTTCTGTTTTAAGATCGTCATCCATGGAGTAGAGGTGGTCTAGCATGATCGGCGGGAGGTTAGTGGACGCCATGGCAGGCCTACTAAGTCACGGACACCTGCAAGAAAGGAAGAAAGAACAAAATACATAAGTTCCAGCACCCCCACGAATTGTTGAATGCACGCACATCTCTGTAATATCATGCCAGGACCATATCAAGGAAGAAAAGAAGACCAATTCAATATCATCATGCAAATCTTTCCTATGAGAGGGGAAAAGATTATCGGGTGCTAAAAGAAAAAAGGGAGAAAATGAATCACAGGGATAAAATATGCGAAGGAAGCCATGGAGTGGCTGTTCCTGTTCCTTCCACCATGCTTCGACACCATCTAGAGGTTTTGCAGTTAATCAAGGTAAGGTATCGCCTCAAGTACGCTTAAAATCCCAAATCAGTGGTCTATGCCCGAAATTCGAGCCTAGGGTTTGGGAAATTAGATGAAACTCAGACCGAGAAAGGTGCCCTGTTCATGAGGAATTCTCGAAAAATATAAATGGTGCCTCCACATGCACATATATGCGTATGTATGTGTGCATGTGTGTAGATGCATGTGCCCAAAGTAACAAGAAGTAGAAAACAAAAAATGGGGGAATGATGCTTACCACTGCTATCGATGGAATTCTTCCAGCAGCTTGCCGAAATCGAAAGAGGAGGGAACTGCCTTGCGATTCCACTGCAGAAATTGCTCCACACTTTGCCAAGTGACTTTGCTAAGCTTGGTTTTGGACGGATTGAAGAGTGAATTGAAGAAATTTGAGGGATTTTAAAGAAGAATCGTGGCTTTTCCTCGATGGTTGCGAGTGGTTTCCTGAGCATAACCAACCAGCGGTTGTGGATGAGGCCTCATTGTGATTTCTCGTTTCCCAAGGGTTCTCTAGACCTGTGTTTTAGGGCTCGTGTGCACAGAAGAGAGGAGTCAGAGACGAAATGAGAAAAACAAGAGAAGAAAAGGAAAGAAAAATAAAATAAAACAAGATTGATCGAAGCGTACCTGGGGAATGCAAGAGACCGCTGGAAAATAATCATGGCAGCACACATGCGGGAAACGGGAAGGTCACGTCAGCAGCCTGGATTTGATTTTTCTTTTGAGCCAGGTTTGATCATTTGACCCATCTCGAAGCTATTCATGGCCCCAATAATCAAGGGGGCTAATGTTGAGGCCCAAAAATCCAAGGGGCTAAGCACAAATTAACCCTTAGCCCAATATGGGTGATTGGATGCAAAATAAGCTCAATCGGGATAAAAGCAAATTTATAAGAGCCGCCAACACAAGCTACAAGCTACAAATCATGCTAAACAAGCACGTGCAGAAGGAGCCAAGAACATACCGATATTACTAAATCACGCTCACATGCTCATTCGGTGCTACTTGGCCCAACTATAGCCTATCACAGCATAATAAAACTCCAAGCACGAGCATAGAAATCATGCGCATTCTAATACTGAGCTACGTCACGAGCTTAAGTGGACCCCAAGTCACAAAATTAACCGGGGCTTACTGAGAATGTTATGGTATGGAAGGAAACAAGCAATCACGGGGCCCATTGAGGGTTCAAGGAACGTAGGTTTCAAAGTCACTTGGGGGCTTGGAACTCAAGCCCGTTCCCTGATATTACTAAATCATGCCATGGCAAGACCATATGTACAAGCCCAAACCCA